AAAAAAAAAAAAAAAAAAAAAAAAAGTAGGAAATTCACCAGCTACACTGTATCAGAGACAGAACAATTCCACCTTTCCCCAGTATGTGTTCTCTCTTCCCACTGGAATCCAAAGAAAAATATGAAAGTTACAAGAAACTGTAACCCCGAGGCTCTGGTAGGGTGAGCCAGGTGGCCAGATTTCCTCTGAGCTCAGGATTCTTGAGACAAGTGTTAGGAAACCTTTCTCTTGTTCTTCATGATAAGTATTAGGCTCTTGGTTTTCTGAAACTTCTGAATTTCCAGCCGGAGTTTGGTTGTTCTGTGATATTTGTGACAAAAGACTATATAAGCACTAGCACGGGTCTGTAGTGGAGACTGAGAAAGTACCTAATACAAGGGTTTTTGTCCTTGGTTTTCAAATTCTGACCAGGCATCATTTAGCTCCATAAATATCATCTTTGCATATTGTTCATATGGCTGTCCAGTAGCCTGGAATAAAAACAGAGAGATGGATATCACAGCTACCAAATCCAACCACACACAGCTGACATGTGAGCAGGGAGATTCCCAAGCAGTTACTGTTCACTTTCCACAAATTTACACTTACTCCTTGACAAAAATGAGCTACTCTGGAGGGCTGCTTACCTTCTTTACACTTGAAGAATATCTTGGCTCTTCTGGTCCTCAAAGCTCACAACCCCCCAGGTGTGACAAAGCACTGCCCCAAGGGCATAGTAAATGTAACGCAGGCATTGCAGGAGGCCTTTTACCTGCACTGAAGGTGAAGAGTTGCCACCTGACACAGTTGCTTGATAAAACCAGTATTCCTGCAAGCCTTGGGGCAGCCTACATCTTCCCAAGCCTCGCCCACTGTCCTGAAACTCTCAGGGTCTTACTTTCCTTAAAAGTCCTCACCATAGGTTGTCCCAGGTGGAGTCATTGCACTCTGATCAGCAAGTGTAAGCAGCAAGACCACAAACTGGGAGATCAGATAACCTGATTGTTCCATTTTAGGAGTTCGATTTGTATCTCCTTTTGCAGGCACGGTATTGTGGGCTGTTGTCCACCAGCAGAACAGCTGAGAGTTGAAGTGAGGGTGACAAAACCTGAAGATTTGAGTCTCTGCTGCTTGGAGCAGCAGGTACCAAGCAGTCTTGGGGCTGGAAGTGGTTACAGAATCACAGATTGGTTTGGGTTGGAAAGGGCTTTAAAGCTCATCTTGTTCCTGGCCTTGGACACTTCCAGGGATGGGGTGAGAGTCCTCAGCTTTCAGAAATCATCAAAAATAATGAGCTGCCTTTTCCTAAGCTGTTTGCACAATAAATTAAGCAATATACCCCACACTTTATAACAACAGCAATGTCTGAACAAGTGAAAGTAGGAGAGCCTTACCTTGTCAGGATGAACGACGAGCACTGCCCGTCGATACACCTTCTTCACCTGCTCTGGTGTCACAAGGTCTGCCATACTCACAGGTTTCCACCTGGTCTCCCCTGCCCACAATACTGTGTGCATTGTGGACAGCAGGGCTCTTATATTCCTCTCCTTCCCTTCAATCCATTCCAGAACCTGGAGAAAGGAATGTGTCTCAATTTATGCCTTACGTTAGATATTCCACTAGGACAAAGTTTCTTCATTTGAATAGCAATGACTCCAAGGAGAAGCTTACATTTCTTTCCATGCTTTAGAAAACCTTTGGAAGACATTTGTCTGTCTTTAATTGATCATTAATTTTTATGTCCCTGCGAAAAATACTGACTTGGTAACACTTCAGTCATTAGATGGAATAGTCAGAAGTTGTGGTTTCATATTTCAAACATAGAGCAGGACAGACTGAATTTCCTTCCCTTCTCAATAGATCTGCAGTTTGGCAATTTATTGAGGAGAGATGAGAGAATTCCAAAGTAGGCAAGATTAATGAGGCAGAGGATTAGTTCAATAAGCTGTAGTTGCTAATCAGGGCTGGAGTGATGTTGAAGACCAGCAGCCCAGACAGTAACACTGAGTAAGGCACTGTTGATGTGGTCTGGTTGAGGACAGAAATGTAACCTTGAAGTTTTAAATCTATTCAGGATGAATGACACATTGACTGTAAAACCATCACCAAGAATTTTGCTTACTTTTAGTTTTTCAGGGTCCATCTCCTTCGCCATTTCTTCTTTTCTCATCTCAGCTATTGTTTTGGGGCCCTTCTTGTCCTTGTGAGCATTAAAGCCTTGACCAGATAATAGATCTTCAAAATCTGCGGACACTTTTGGCTTTGAATCTTAAAAAACAAGATTTGAAGTTGTTATCACAATATGGGTGCATTTAACTCAGATTTTCTACCCAGGCTACCTCCCTCAATCACATTAAAAATCTCCCAGTGCTAATGAGCATGTGGATTCTCATAGAAGATCTTTAGGCTAATTTTACTTTTGAATTATTATTATTGAATCACAGAATCAGAGAATGGTTTGTGTTGGAAGGGACCTTAAAGGTCATCTAGTCCAAACCCTGCCATGGGCAGGGATATCTTCCCGTGGGTCGGTTTGCTCCACACCCCGTCCAACCTGGCCTTGAACATTTCCAGGATTATTATTGAAGGCCATTTGGAATACAGGATTTCCGAAATAACAGCACACTTTAGAGTCTAGGACAGGATATATCATCAAGTGATCAACATGACTTACTTGCTTAAGTAACCTGGAAAGGTGTTTGAGCATTATATCAACATGAGGAGCTAACCTGTGGGGTGGAACTCCGTGGCCCTTACCAACATTAGCGGGTCCTTTCCCCCGTTCGCCCTGTGCTCCAGGCATGGCTGAGAAGCTCACGTTGTAGTTGGGTTTGTTCTGAGGGGAAGCGTGGGGCACGCTGGGCTGGGCTTTGGGCTGAGCCTGCTGCCAGGTGTACCCAGCTCCCTGCTGCCAACCACTCCCGCCCATGGGCTGCGGCGACGGCTTCTGCGGTGACGGCGGGAACCCCCCGCCCATGCCCGTCGGAGTGGTCGGCTTGCTGGCAAAGGAAGGGCCACCTGCAGGGAACAGGGAAAGGAGGGATGGTGGGTGTTACCAATAGGGTACTGACTTTCCTTCCCAAAAGGGAATCTAAGCAAAATCCCCCAGGTGTCCAGTTTCAGCGCTGCCACGAACTTGGTTTTGCAACATCAAGCAAAGCCCTTCAAATTCCCTGTCATTGCTCAGTGAGCTGGTTAAAGGACAGCACCTGCCTTTGAGGATTGTACAGGAATTGGAGGAGTGGGTGGCTGCAGAAACACGGGGAAAGCTGTGTGTAGCTAACGAGGAGTCAAGCTCTGTGTGCATGGTGGCAACACAGAATCACAGAATGGTTTGGGTTGGAAGGGACCTTAAAGATCATCTGGTTCCAAACCCCCCTGCCATGGGCATGGATACTTTCCACTAGACCACGTTGCTCAGAGCCCCATCCAACCAAGCCTTGAACACTTCCAGGAATGGGGCACCCACAGCTTCTCTGGGCAACCTGTGCCAGTGCCAACATCCAGCTGACGTGTTGAAATTCTATCTCCTCATGCTGTGCTGATGTAATGCCATCCCACAGAGTTGTGTGTTTCAGCACCTTATTACTTAGGGGATGCTTCTCTGGCTCTGTTTGGGGTGGGAGGTACCCAGTGTTAATGTTTTATTATTTGAGACTGACATCCACGCTCGACTCTGAGCTCTGAAATGTGTCATGGAAACTGCATTAAGTGCTTTAGACTTAGTCATGAACAACAAAATGTGGTTAAATGTCCTGGGGATGCCAAGCCATTTGTTTTTAAACCCCACAACTTTCCTACAGAATCCATGCTTTAAAAGCACCTCGATGGCTCCAACGTGGGTCTTGGCAGACTTTTTATTTTGCTCCTGCAGAGCAGCTTGAGATCCAGCAGAGGGAACTGGGAAACCTAATTCCAGAACCATGCTGGTACTGACGCAAAGGGGAAAACAAACATCAGACAAAACCACAATGGCTCCAAAGAGCTGAGGGCAGTGACAAAGGGAAGAAAAATCTATTTACCAGAGTCAGAGAAGCTGACATGCTGGGGCTTAAAGAAGACTTCAATAATTTCTCAGAACTGCCTTTTTAATTCTGGAGTTGAGGGTTTGCTGATTGTTTTATGTGATAAAACAAAGGGGAAAGGCTTGTCTGAGTGACCAAGCAAACAGCCCTTTGTAGCCAGGTGCAAATACTCCACCTTTAAAAAATACTGCAAATTAGAGGCAGATTAATGAGGTTCCACAGGTTTCCTCACAAAGCACAAAAATGAGTCAAGTCTAGAAAGAAACAATTCCTCTAGAACCCCAGTAGCTTTGAACAGCCAAATTCTCCTCCTATGCCTGTTAGTAGCAGTTCTCCAGTCAGAGTTGAACACAGAGCATCCTTAGGCAGTGTGTTTTAGACTTATTAGAAGTTATGCTTTGCAATTCATGGAGGTCCCAGCTGAGGTCCCAGCACATTGCCAGCAGATTTTTTGACAGAGGATCAAGAAAACCGCAGATCTGTGAGAGCTTCCAGAGAATAAGGCAGAAGGCAAAGCTTGACAGCAGCACTGGTGGGCAGGTAGGTTGAGAGGACCCTCACATACCAGGCTGTTCAGCCTATTTCTCTAAAAGAATGCTGGTAATTTATTCTTTTATTTACTTAGTAAGAGATGCAAACCTGCTAAACTTGCTCCAAGAGTCCCCAGGTCAGCAAACGGATCCAGTGTTTGGGGTTTAGGCTGATGAGTGGGAGTGCTGTGGAGGGATCCTGTAGGACTGGTGGCAGCAGACTTACTTCCCATTCCTAGGCCACCTTAAAGGGAAAAGACATATATACGTATAAAACAAAAAATAACTCATTTTTTACCCGTTTGACATGAGTGCAGCTCTTACCCAGTGTTCAGTCACATGATGTTAGTAGACTATTAAAACTGAAGCAGGTTCCTAAGCAGCCTCAGCTCAGCGTTGGCCCAGACTAGTTGCACACCCACTCACAATTAGGCTCAGCACAGGAATGTTCCCTAGACTGTCTGCAGTGACAGAGTAATTATGACAAAAGGATATATTTTAAGAACTAAAAGCCTTCAGGAAGCAACCTTGGTAGGACATACCAAATCCCAAGATTAGAAAGAATGGTGCAACTATTTAGTGGCGTCCCAGGAATGCACGGCACTTCCCAGGTCCTTCTGGTGGCTCTGCACTGGAATGAAACACACCTATGTACACCCTCACCAAGCACCTATCTGGCTTTGAGGAAACAAACCCAGATTTTTTTGAACAGAAGGAGTTTAGAAGTCTTTAGCCAGATCCTCACCTGGATGGCTGGGAGACCAGGACAACAGGTACAGCAAACCTGCTGCAGTTCAGCTGACATAACTGACATATTCATTGAGGTTTTGATGTGTTCCTCAAAGCTTTAAGCAGCAGAAAGAGGGAGCCTGTTCTCTGCCCCACCTCTCTCAGGGCTCCTTAAGGTTTGGTTTTGCTAAACACCCTGAATTTTTGTGATACATACCTGCTTTGTTGGGCCAGTCCCAACCACTGGAAACATCTGGTTGTATGGAAACTGTTGGAGTGCTAGAAGCTGAGGAGAATGGTTAATATAAATATCTCAAAGTAGTACAGGAAAACCAACATAATCCAGTGTCTGCTAAAAGATACTTGAACTCTATGAGCAAGGTCTATGAACCTCTAGTGGAAGGTGTCCTGCACAGGGCAGGGGACTGGAACTGGATGATGTTTCAGGTCCCTTCCTACCTTAACCCTTCTAGGATTCTATGAGTCCAAGAGCAGGGAACAAAGAGCAGGAGACACAGTATTGTGTCCACCCTTGTGAACTTCTCCCCCATGATGGGCATTACAATTTTAATGTTTTTTTTCTGATCTTGTGCTATCCAGAAGTAAGTGGAGAAGGACACAGATTTACAGTGCTCATATTATGATAATTTTGGTCAGAGCTTTTATATACTTATTTATAAAATCTTTCCTACCAAACTAACACATGGGGGGTTGTGTTGCTGAATACATCTCAACCCAAGGAAATATTCTACATGAAAAGGGCAAGAGAAAACAAACAAAGTAAAGCAGCCCACACAGATGTAAACCAAAAAGGACACACACAGCCCGTCCTTTAACCCTGTCTCACATAAAGCCTGGATGTCTAAGGCATTCACCCTGGCAGCATTTCATTATCCACAGATATCAGCACTGTCATTTAATACTTCACCATGCTGAGATGCCATTGAAATTCCCTTCATTAGTGCAGCCAGCTCCAAGTGTGACCCCATGTCTTAATCACAGAGTGAATATCAAGTACCCAAGTCTGGAAAAGCAAGGATGTGAGCAGTGCCAGCAGCACACTACTTGCCTCCTTGGACATTCCAGCCTTCCAGGGAGATGGTTTCACCCAAAGGACATGTGTTAGATGATCAGACACAAATCCATTTCTGAATGTGTTTCAGAGAAGGTTACAACATTAACTTTTGGCATGGGGGAGAAGGTTACAACTAAGGAACATTTCAAACGAAGAGAAGGAAGTCCAGTAAAGGAAAAAATTCCTTCTCTTCACATAAGAGTCAAATTCATCTGTGAATTTGGTCAGGGTTACTATAGAATCTAAAGAAAGTAGATGCCTATAACTAAAATCACCAAAGGATGTGTGTTTTCTCTAGCAGACCATGCTGTATTTAGTCAATTAATGGTATTTGGTTCAAGTGAGACCTTATAGCCACAGGAATATGAGAGCAGACATTCTTCATGGTCTCTTTTTTTTTTTCATTTGTATAAATAGCTTATTAATTAAGTCTAAGACTTGAGCAAAACTAGGCTCATCCTACCACACTTAAAATGATGAATATGCTTTAAGTCTGAAGAAAAAATCTCTTTCCTGTTTAGTGGGGTTTCTGTGGTTTTGAGCCATTTTATGGTGAGCATCAGTTTGTACTTAATGGCTCCATGGCTATTTAAAAGTAGCATTTCACATTTATTTAAATATAGAATAACCTCCCTTTCTTACCCATGTGAAAGGGATCACTGTGCACAGTTGGTGAAGGGCTTCTTGTGGCTTGAAGGAAAGGATCCCCAGGGACAGCAGATGAACCAAGGAAGGAACCTAGGAGGTCGGGACCAGCTTGCTTGGGGCTACTTCCAAATGGATCAAAGGCAGTGGCTGTAAAAACACATTTGAGAAAACTAAATTATTAACTTGTACAATGAATTGGCTTCAGGGGAAAGACACTGGGACATGGAGAATAAAACCTAATACCTGCAGAGAGCAAACAGGAGGCAGTGTGAGTCTGTGGGGGAACAACTGGAGGGTGTCAGTACCCCAGCCAAATTCTGGGATCCTAGAGGGATGGTCATGGCAACACACTGACCCCATCTTTAGTTTCCAAAGAGAGGGATTGAATTTAGGAGCAAGCAAAGAGAGTATTTAAGTACTCAGACACTTCAACTTGCACGAACTGCCAGTACATAAATGGATGGTGAGGGACAGCCTGGAGCTTGGAGTTAGTGCCCTGATGCAATTCCTGCTGCCTCTCAAGAGCTGAATGCAATTCAAGATGATTTCAGGCCGGCAAAGGTTACAAATGTTGGGGGTAAAAGGGTAAAATTTTAGAAATGCTTTAGAAAATAACTGGAATATCTTGGAAGAAACAAAAGTTCTGTGTTTCCTAGTCCAGGATCAATATCACAGCTCCATACCCACTAAGTTAAAAGAGAAATTAAAGTGCTATGGGTCTACCCAAAACCTGAGAGGATTTTTTTTTAAACTAACAAGCTCCTCATATGCATTATTGGACACATAGGAAGAGCAAAACTGAGGATCTCCAGTGGCTGTTGGTGTAAGGAGCCACCAAACATTTGGGTGTGCTCCAGTAGAGACTTTAGGGAACAAACTGGTTCATGTTCTTGACTGCGAAGGTGCACCACCAAGGCTGGTCTCTTGGCATCCCCCGCAGCTCTTAATTTTCACAAAATGGGGGTACCCAAGAGGAAAACAAGAGGCCAGAGCCTCTCACCCAGTGGGTTCTCAAAGCACGTGCCCCAGGTCCCACGCGGCACAGCCACCGTTACCTTCTCCCACCCTTGGGGACGGGGATGGGGACGCTGAGGCCGCAGAACGCCGAGGAGTTGACTGCACAGATCCAGGTCCCCCCACATGGAAAACCTCCTCAGCAGCAGGCTGTCCACTCTGACTCGGGGCACTCGGCCCTCCAAACAAATCACTCAGCAAGTCTGAGTTAGAGGGGGCAGCCGTGGGCTGTGAGGGAAAGTTCTTGCTCATAGGGCTGCCATCCAGGCCCAGCAGGTCCACATCTTCAGGAGGGGGTGGTGCTGGAGGTTCTTGTTGCTTTTTGCTGTGTTTTGGTGTCCCATGGGGCTTGTCACCGCTGGCATTACTGTGCTGACTGGAAAGGGACAAGAGTTCGTCATCTGACTGTTCGCTTTCCTCATGCACCAACGCTGCTCGATCCTCTGAGGTGGGGTGAGAGCTACTTTTGTCAGATTTCTGATCTAAATGATGATTAAAAATAAAATTAGGTATCTGTTAGTTGTGTCATCACAAAGGTCCCATAAAAGTCAGCTTACAGCAGAACACAAAGCTACTGAGAATATCACAGCAGGATATCACCCCAAAAGCTACTGAGAATATCACCTCAAAAGGGGTGTCCAGCCCTGGCACAGGCTGCTGAGGGCAGTGGCTGAGTCTCCATCCCTAGAGGGATTTAAAATGGAATGTGGCACTTGGGGACATGGGTGGCAGCCTTGGCAGCGCTGGAGAACGGTTGGACTTGATGACCTTAAAGGTCTTTTCCAGCCTAAATGATTCCATGATTCCTTTGCAAAGATTAACCTAAATTTTATCATCAAGGTTTATTTAAAGTTTTAGCATCAAAGAGGCCTCAGGTGAAGCTTCACACTAGAACTATGTCAATAATCATCATAGGCCAGCAGCACAGGCCAGCGATGTTTGAAGAGGACATTGCAGGAAATTAATTCCCACTCAATTGCAACATAAGGGTGTGCCCAGCTACAACACTGTGATCTAATGGGAAAGCCATGCTACAATGGGATCCTTCAGCCTGACTCTGTGCTCCAAAGAGGGGGGAAAAAAGCTGTTTATCTTGTTCAAAGCAGATTTTACTTTGAAGACCAAGCCTGTGTACCTTGCCAGCTGAGAGAGGAGAAGAATGCACTCTGCCCAACATTCCTGATGTTATCCTGGGGTGAATCCGTGGGACCTCTGCCTGCAGCACAGAGCACCAGAGACATACAATCAAGCTAAACCAAGCTCAGCCTGTAGGTAAGCATGTAAATAGATAAATCTCTGCTGCCCTTACCTGCCAAAGCAAGAGTGTCCTGGTGCTCCTGGTGAGAGGAGAAGAGGATGGATGGATTGATGTCTTTTGTTGTGAAGTTCTCCCATGGGGGAGTTAGTTCAGTTTGTCTATCTGTGGACTGTATTTCTATGTCCAGTATAACATGAAAGAGCTGAGGATATTTGTCTGGAGAGTCACAGGCATCCAATTCAGGCCTAAAGGGGACAAGAGTGGTAGAGTTTTAAAGGGAAGAACATTTCTGGGAAGCTATATAAAGTCTTTCAATATATGCAGGCACAGAGACTTCTCATATTTCATCTGTGACTGTTCTCCCTCAGCCTTCATAAGGCTTTTATGTGTCAGGTATGATTAATGTTCAGCTTCAGATACTCACTTGGTGAATTTTAGAGTGGTTGTTCCCAGGGCTATGAATCCAGTATGAAATTGAATTTGGAATATTTGTGTGTTGGTCATCTGAAAAAAAAACAAACAAAAAACCAACCTGCAGAGCACCGGACTGAAAAAGTGCTTAAATTCCTGAAATTAAAATAGCTGTTTATATGCAGTTAGTTAAGTCTACCCTACTGCCAGCTACTATATAGACTATTCTTAACTGCTGCATAAGCTAATTCATTCTGCTTGTTCTACAGGCAGCAGAGCTTTTCCTTCTCAATATTCCCAAATATTCCAAATATTTCCATCTGCCTTAAACCCTGCTGCTGCAGCCTCCATATAGCAGAAAGCCTTCATAGCCTTCAGGTCCCTACTTCCCTTTATTTCTGGGATCCACTCATTAGTTTTGCAATTAAATGAAGCTGTTTCCACAGTTTCATTTAATGAAATTATTTATTTGTTATTTTATTTATTTATAAACAAAAGAAATAAATAAAGTAAATTTTATTAGTTATTAATATAAATAATTAAATTTAAATAGGTTTGGGAGCAACAGGTTTGTACCCCAGGAAAACATAAGAGCCTTTCACTTGCAGTAGAGGCTTCAGGAAAATATTATCTCTACAGCAACCAGCACCAGTAACAAATGAGGAAGACAAAAACATTCACTGGTCACTCTGCCACTTGAATATTAAGGTTTCCAACATATAATCAGGCAAATTATCAAGGTCCCATGTTTAGCCACCTCTTGGTTCCTCACATTGCCTCTACCACACAAGAGAAGTTAAACAAGCTCCTACTTTGGCTTGAAGACGTCCCCCGATGGTGGATCTCATGTGGTAGACAGAAACAACGACATCTCCATGGACAGTGGCTCCCAGTGGAATTAGGACTTTCCCTTCTTGCACACGGTATTCTCTTTGAGGGGAAGAGAAGGAAATCCACAGTTAAGGTCCCTCCTACCACCCATCATCAGGCTCAACATAAAACTGTCATCTCCTTCAGGGCAAGCAGGGAGAAGGAGCATTCAGTGCTCTGCTTGGTGTTAGGGTGAGTTAAAACAAAATTATCTCAGGGGGGAAACCAACACAGCACTGAACAATCCCACCACATGACAACCTCAGACTCACTCTGCCTTTTTATTTCAACACTAAGCACTAACTTTCAATTAATTTTGATTAATATTTTCATTTATCAGGCAGCCTGACAAAGTTATTAGACATATTCCAGCAAAATGAAGCTCCTAAGGATGGGAGAAGGTCACAGAACTCACTTCATCCTCTCATACTCCTGGGCAGTGGTGAGGATCCTGGTCTCTCCGCTGAGGATGTCACAGAAAGGCCGGCAGCCGTTGCGTTGCTTGTTGAAACAGGGGACAGGGCTGAGGGTGACTGACTTGATAGTGAGTGGTTTGCAGTGAGGAATGATGGGCTTGTCTGCTATTAGATCACAAATATATCCTATGTACCTGCAGGCAGAGAAAGCCAGTGCTGAAATCGCCATCCCAGGTGACCAATTTCCATTTCATACTCAAAGTCTACCTTGCAATCCAGTGAAAGTGCCACTGTACTCCATGTACTCCAGCATCCTTGCAGCTGGCACAAAACCTACACCTCTGTTTCTGTAAGGATGCGGCTGACACAGGAGAGGGATTCACCCAGGCCCTGTTATCCACAGGTTCATCACAGGAAGCTTTGGGTTAGAATGGACCTTTAACGGTCATCTAGTCCAACCCCCTGCAACAGGCAGGGACATCTTCAACTGAAATAATAGGATAATTCAGGTTGGAAGAGACAGCCGAAGTTCACCTCTCCAGCTCTTTGCTCAGGGCAGGACCAGCTTCCCAACTCTATCTCAGAACTGGATTATGTGCTGGGGTAATACCCAACCAGGAATCTCCAAGGACAGCAATCCCACAGCCACTCTGGACAACCTATTCCAGCATGCCTTCACCACTTCACTACTTATTTCTGAGGAGCAAAGTGGAGTCTGAATGTCTGTCTCAGCCTGGGGCTGGGCACACAGTGCCAAAACACACGACAGGGACTCTGGCAGTTTTTACCACGAAGAATACACGTCATAGAGTTTAGTCAGGATCCTGTACCTCCTGTGAGATGGCCACAGTACAATTCCAGGTCTCTTTGTGTTCAGCAGCTGCATGGCAGGGCCAGGACTAGAGAAGAGGTGACAGAAACAGAACATGGCGCTGACCAGAACTGCTGAGGCTGCACGGCCGTCCTGTCAGAAGGGGCAGGGAGAGAAAAGTGTGTGAGTATCAGACAAATCCTTAGAATTTCAGCTCTTCCTTAAATCATAAAAAATCATTTGTCCAGAAAGACTGGGATTGAGACCACCAGCTGATGAGGATTTTTCTGTTTTGTGTCATTTGTTTAATATCCAGGACTTCAGTGAGTGGCACTGGCCTGGATCAAAGTTAAGGTAATATCCAGGGAGCAGCCAAAGCTGAGGATGGTTTAGGCTTGGTTTTAAAGCCCATAAGTACATTTTATCTGCAAATGTTGGTGTTTCATGGCTGCTCTCAAACTGTAATATTACAATTATTTCAAACATAGGCCTGGAAGTGACTACAGGGATCAGTGTCCACCCATCCCACATGTGCAGGTACTTGTCTAAGAGAATTATCCTGGAAGAGTTCATAAAAAAAAAATCCAGCCCGAGGCTCCCTCACCCAAACACCTCCACAACCCTCAAGCTACAGAATGTTCCTTAACAAGTCTATGGGGCTTTTCAGGGTGATTAAGGATGAAAGTATGATGAGTAGGATGAGTCAGATTGATGGACCAAAAATACAGAAAGAGCAGGAAAAAATCAGTGTATCCCCAGTGCCCTGAGTCCCTCCTATACTCAGGAATATAGGAGGTGATGAGTCATATGGACTCTACCCCAGCTCTGGTGAACCAAACAAAAAGGAAAAGCCCTTCCACCAAAATCCAGGTCTGGATATTCATGGCACAGTGATGGATATGAGAACCTGCTCAATCCTGCCAGAGTACCATGACACCCAGCTCATGTCCCCCTCGTGTCAGAGGGGACAGAAGATCCCAGAACTCAAAACTCATTTCCAAGGAAGAAGTAGGAAAGCTGCCCCATCAGGCAAGCAGTCCCCCTCAAAGTCTGACACAAGTTAAAAGTTATACAGAATCATAAAATCCCAGACTGGTTTGGGCTGGGAGGGACCTTAAAGCCTATCCAGTCCCACCTCCTGCCATGGGCAGGGACACCTTCCATTAGACCAGGTTGCTCCAAGGCCCATCCAACCTGGCCTTGAACACTTCCAGGGATGGGGCAGCCACAGCTTCTCTGGACAACCTGTGCCAGGGCCTCACCAAATAGCATTCCAGCCATTTTCTGTAGGATTTGCCATGCTGGAGCTGACCCAGACCCTGGGAACCTGCTTGACATTTACAGGCTGTTTCCTTTTTTAAGGTTTAGCCCCTTCCAATTGCTTCTGACAAGATCTCTCAGATTCATATAAACCAGTGGGCTTCTGCAGACTTGTTAGTGTTGGAAAGGACTCCCTATACTTTACAGCATTATCCTGATATTTATTGCTCAAAGGACAGTAAAGGAATTTGATTCTTGAGCTAATTTCCAGGACTGGAGGCATCAAGTGCATCTTCCTCTCTATTTGAAGGGAATTTACATCTGGTAGCCTCTGGCTGTGCTGTGCAAGGCAGAAATGCCAGACTCATATGTGAGGTCTATGCAATTTGGGATCAGTCATTTCCTCCGTTCCTCCCAGTTTATGCTGATCAGGGCTGACAGCCTCCTGGATTTAATTTAGGCTCCAGGAGCAGAACACAACTCTGCTTTTGGGCATTGCTGTCTGTCAGTATGAAAGGCTGTACGGGGTAAATTACAGATTAGTCCTACAGAATCACACCACTCTCCTGCAGCCCATCTACACTTTGCCCTGTGCTGAATAACCCTTGTGAGAGATTTACCATTTCAGCTGTGCTGTACAAAGAGCAGCAGAAGGCAGCTGGGCTGCTTCAGCCAGTACTGATAGCAAGAGACTTCAACATTCTCAGATTCACAGTCTGACAGAATTGCCATCTATGTGTGTTCCGCCCAATTTCCATCAGCCTTCAGTCTGGAGGCTCCGTTTTCTCCTGCGACTACTTAAAATAAAGCGTGAAGTCATAGAATCCCAGAATGGTTTGGGCTGGGAGGAACCTTAAAGCCCATCCAGTCCCACCCTCTGCCATGGGCGGGGATACCACCCGCTAGATCAGGTTGCTCCAACCTGGCCTTGAACATTTCCAGGGATGGGGCAGCCAAAGCTGCTCTGGACAACCTGTTCAACTGGGCAAATCACAGCAGCCTGACAGCTCTTAGAGTAGGTTCTCAGGTGAAATTCAAGCGTTTTTGCTCCTCATCACCTCTACAGTTCACTGCTAGAACAATTGTAACCTCTCTGGCTTTGCATTCCTGCTTCTTGTTCAGTGTTACCCCTCCCAGCTTATCTCTACAGCTGCACATGGAAGATGATGTCCCTCTCTATGAGTTTTATTACATCCCTTTTTCTTTTAGAAGCTGTCCTCCTCCTTGCACACAGACTCCAAACATGCAAGATGACTTATGGCTCATCATGTGGTGACTTTTTGGTCACTCTGTACATACCATGCAATGGATGACACAGACATTTTTGGGGTTCTGCTGCAGCCAGTTGTGCATGTTCTTGCAGACAGCGTAGAGGTTGTGCAGACTGGGTGCCTGTCGGACTGGCCAGCTACATTCAGACACCTGCAGGAAGGACACCAGCAACATAACCAGCTTTGTAAGAGCATTAAGCCAGGCCTGCTTTACAAATGCTTTCTCCCCAGAAACCTACTTCCCTTTTACAACCTACAGTTATGTGCTTGAAACCTGCTCCATCTCTCCCCACGCATAATTCTGCGACGTGATTTCCATGAATGATGAGGAGGCAAACAAAAAAGCATTCTCAGTCAAATAACATAAAACTGATGTGTTGGTCCTGACTGCACATTTTTAAAAATTTACATTCCACGTCAGATTATCTCGAGTGGCCCTTTCATAATGCTCCAGTCTCACATTGATGTCTGCCATATCTAAAGCCTTTGTACAACGTGTCCCTAAAAACTACTGCTCTGATTTGCAAAGGGTACTGAGCATCTGTTGTTCTCAGTCGTTTTGTGTCAAAGGATTCCCAAGCCCTATGTGACAGATATTAAGCTGATGAAAGGGAATCTTCTGTTAAAAAAAAAAAAAAATCATATCTGAGTAAGTATAGTTAATATATGAGCCAGGAAAATGAATGACTCCTTAGAGCTGAAAAACCACAAATCCTAAAGTATATCTAGTTACTATTCATCAGTGTACTAGTTCTGAGTCATAACACTTATCTCTAGAACAGTCCTTGCAGTCTCAAGCAGCACATCAAATAGCCTTAGACAGACACCTCCCTTTCATCTGGTTTTAATCAAAATATCCTTTTTTTTAAAGGCATTTCTGGCTAGAAGAAATTTAAAGGAGAAATGTCATGAGGCTTGTCCTCAGACAAAGAACTGGTTTTCTCTCTTGGCTGACATTTGGATCCTGCTTAATGAGAACAGGGAAGGAAGGAGATGATCTATCCAGATGTTCTTAAACACACATATGGTTCCCATACCTGTTTTATCTTTACCTCTCAGAGGAAGGAAGAGCTCCAGGTTTCATAAAACTTGTGCTCAAGGTTCTGTCTTACACCTGCACGACATCTTGGAGCAGAACCAGGCATCCTGACTCAAAACAGAGAACCACTAAGCTGTGTGTTGTGTCAAGTGACAGCTCCAAGGACTCCCAGAGGATGCAGGGATAGGCCAAGCTGGCAGGACTGCCTAACCCAGGCATCCATCCTGCTGGCAGAGCTCTGCTTAACATTTGGTAGACTTTCGCCTAATTTAATATCTAGATATTCATCTAATCACTTTTTAGACTCATGAAAGCTTTTGGTCTCCAGAATATCCCAAAATTCAGCTGTGCCCTTGGTGAGCAAGTGCAGGTTTGTGTTGTAGAAACCACCCAACAAGTCAAATCATGCTCAAAGTTTGGAAGGCAGGGAATGACCATTCCCTATTTACCCTCTCTGCAGCATTATACTCATCCCCCACCCTCTCCTGTCTCAAGAGTTGTGGTTTGTCTCACTCCCGCTGTTGTACATCCTTCATTTTCGCTTTTAGAATTAGTATGACCAATGACCCTTTCACTGATGATCTTCTGAACAAACCTCACACCAACACACTGTCAAGCATCTGGAAAAGTCATTATCACTTGTCTAGTAAATAATATACATTTCCCAACAGTCCATAATTATATATTTATGTTGCCTATAATTACACATCTGCCTGTTGGTTGGCAATTAAGAAATTAAATCCCCTCTATGTAGCATTTTGTTTACATCAAATCCCCACCACTCATGACACACAACCTTGGGGAAAAGTAACAGGAATTCTTCTAGAGCTCTGGGAATGAGCAGCCAGAGCTTGTTTTACTTGAACAGTAGGGCAGCAAGTGCCAAGAATGTGACCCATCAGGGAGTTTGAAGTTTGGGTTTGTTTAATGTTATATTTATGTTACATGTTTTGAAACTGCTCAGGCTTCCTCAGGCAGATGTGAGCTCTCCTCTCCTTTCCTGTTGGGGACACAGAGAGAACAGAGCACAGCAAGGTCTCAGTGTGAGGAGTCATAAAATGGGTTGGTTTGGGAGAGAACTTAAAGTTCATCTTATTCCACCCCCTGCCATGGGCAGGGACACCTTCCACTAGCCCAGGTTTCTCCAAGCCCCATCCAACCTGGCCTTGGACATTCCCAAGGATGGAGCAGCCACAGCTTCTCTGGACAGCCTTTCCCAGTGCCTCACTAACCACTCATAGTCCCTTGTCCTCCTTGATAGACTGGGCACCCGGGGCTTTATGATCCAGTCAGCCACATCCAGGCAGAAAAATAGCCCAGCAGGACATTAATTCATCTCCCTCCTGTGCCACTATGCAGCAGAGTGACCTACTTTGATCTTAGGAACAAAACAGTTTTAAAGAGTGTAAGAATTGAAAATTTTCATCCTGACATCTTCACCCACAGCAGAAAACACTCTGAAGGTGATTTCACCTCCTTGATGGCCCATTAGTATCTTTTACAATATATATGAAGTTCAACCTTATAAATGTTTCATGTGTTGTGCTATGCACCTTCATTTTCATGTAAAATACTTGGAATCAGTACTTCCTAGCTCATAACCTGAAAGTACAATATTTTATTAAAAGATGCATCATTTTTTTTCCTGTGAGAATCAAGGCAATGGTTCCAAAACACCAGGTCATGTTTTGAGAGTGATGTACAAAGTCACCTGCTAAGATTTTGAGTAGGTAAAATTTAGGATTGGAGGAGTTATAGACAGATCATATAACAATAGAAGTTTAAAACTGGGCTTTCAGAAGTAGATGGATCTTCCTTCACCCACCAACAGCAAGTGTTGCACCAGCACCAATCAAGACTGAAGATTCAGAGCCCTTAATATCTTTTAATTAGTCTTTCCTTTTCATTTATTCATCTTTGAAGTCATGGCTGTTTACTGAAGGTCTCTGAGAAATTTGCTTCATGAGTGAGTGATTTCTGGTGATCAGAGCAATTGCTGAAGGTAAATTCAGCTATACCTCAAATTAAAATTAAATTAGGCTTATAGGTTAGATTAATTTATCCTGACTGAGGGTTAAGCCTTGCAACTGCTTTTGGCTTTTTTGTTGAAGGCAACAAAAAGTGAGAAATTAAAAAAAAAAAAAACAAAAACAAACAAACAAAAAAAAAAAACCCAAAACACATCAGTCCCTTCTGGGAGAAGGAAAGAACAGGAAGTTTTTGGAAAGATTAAATCTAATCTTGCATTTCACCAGCAGCATTTCATAGAGATTTCCTCTAAAAGCCATTAATGAACCAGAGCCTCGCAATGCTCCTGTAATGCTGCTGTGGTTTTAGAGAGGGAAACTGGGCCACAGGGTGGAGGTGGGTTTTTAAAGTCACAAGAGCCAAAATGTCCCTTAGAACTAGTTTCCAGTCCTGTGCTTTGCCTGCTAAGGGCTCCTACTTGTTTAAAGCACAGGATTGTTCAACATGAAAATAATCTACCTTCTTATACTGGTAATTTCTTTCAAAGCCCTTTCATTTTATTCTTTATTTCTCTTCAGCAGCTTCTAACAGCTCTGTATGAGATCAGAGCAGTGCAAGCTCCACTCAGTGCCTCTTTCTGACATGAGAATTATGCCCTGAACTTTCCAGCTCTTTAATCCCTGTGATCCCAGGCATCAGCTAAAACCCAAAAACCACCACAGCAGCTTAAAAACACCTCTAACTCCTTAATCATCTTCTTACATTCTGCCATGCTCAGAAACAGGACCTGGTGCCCCTTTTCCCAAGGAGTTTCACCCCTTCCTCCTGTTAAACTCTTAGGAGACACTCACCCTGTTGTGGAACTTGGCACTGCGATAATATTTGGGGGACAAGTTGAAGACGGTGTAGTGGTCGGGATGTCTGGAATCCAAAAACGTCCTCACATCTTCAATGTGGTTCCTGAATCCCAGCTCCACGCCTTCAGCCGGAAAAGACATCACTAGGAAAGCAAGGAGAAGCCAGGCTGAGTCTTTATGTAATTCTGGGGTACCACAGGTTGTATTTATTCACTAAGCAGCACTTACCTATGATTCTTGAGGTAATGTAAGAAATATCCAGCTCCCCCTTAGTGTAGCTAAAAGAAGACAAATCAGGAGACAGACATTACAAAAGCAGCACATTAGAGGAACCAGAAGTGTTTTCCCACAAAAATCTGCTTATCACACAAAGAAAAATGATCTTAAAAATAACTCTTAAGAAGAAGGAGCAAATGGCCTCCTGCAGACAGTGACCCAGCCTTCCTCTCTACACATGCAATTAGCTGACTGAAGGACTTGCAAAAAAGGTCCCTTTTCCCTTTTGTCATTAATTTTCAGTGCCAGTTTTCAGGAGAAATCTCTGGTAGTTTGCCACTTTGCAGATCCCTCAAAGCCTCTGAAGTCTTGCATGCATTAAGTTTCTTTAATTTCTTATAGCCCCGTGTCCCTTGGAGGTGGGCAGAGAGCCAAGCACAGGGGAGCACACCAGCAGAGTCACCAAAGCAAAGTCACCTCAGCCCTTTCTTAGATTCAAAAGGTGGATTTAGTGATGGGAACATCAGCAAGTAGAGCCTCAAGGGAGGGCATTGATATGAGCCAGTTTTCAGTGACAAGTGGTAGTTGAGTAGGACCCCGCAGGGAATCCTCCAGGAATTGGAGACCAAGTATTCCACTTGCACTGGGAAGGGGGTGCTCATCTACTATGAAGCTTAGATTGTTTTACTTTGTATTTCCTGCTTCCTTGAGGTCAAATACCAATTATGAGGCAGAATCAAAGAAGCCACTTGTGATTTTCACCTCCTTCCTTCATTGTGTTCCCTGGGAGTTGTGCTGTGCTATTCAGGTGGCAGCTGGGACTGGCACTTTGCAGCCAGTGGTTTTACCTGCTTCAGCTGTACTGTACCTGGCAACAGACTGCATGACCTTGGAAGATGTGTCTTTCAGGGTATCCTTCAGGTTATCCTTCAAATTGCTGAAGAGTCTCCCTGCTCCTCCTTTCACCATATCTAGCAAGCCTCCCCCATAGCTGGACTCCATGTCTGGTGATGAGGCACCTTCAAGTACAACAAAATCAAAGGCAACATCACTTGTTTGGAACAAACTCACAGAGCCAACAATCCCATTACTCTGGTCAGACTCGACATATTCACAGGGGCTCTGTCAAGCGAGGGGAAAAGTGGGTTTACTCATCAAAGTCAAGATTTCCCAGAGATGAAGGATGGCACATTCTTGCCAGCTGAGCTCAGAAAACAGTCTTAAGATGCACCAGAGGTGGTTTAGGTTGGACTTCAGGAAGAAATTCTTCACAGAAAGGGTGATTAGACATTGGAAGGGGCTGTCCAGGAAGGTGGTAGAGCCTGGAGGTGTTCAAGGAACGACTGGATGTGGCACTCAATGCCATGGTCTGCTTGATAAGGTGGTGTTGGGTCATAGGTTGGACTTGATGATCTGAGGTCTTTTCCAACCTAATTGATTCTGTGACTCTGTGACCTTTAAGATCCCTTCAAACTCGAGCCAGTCTATGATTCTAAGCTCCCTCACCTCTCCAGCCAACTGAAAGTAAGAGTAGCTCTTCACCATGAAGCTGATTTGTTGGTCACAACCAAGACCAAACCAACAACCACCTCCACAGGGACAAGAAAAAGGCCCTCAATAGTTTATACAACGCTAAATATATACAAATATACATTTGACTGCAGCTGGATGACTGAAGGTTGTCCAACCCAAATCATTCTATGATTCTATGATAAAATGATATTTTAATTGCTTATCAACTACGAATTAAGCTCTTGACTACTTAAAAAAATTGCTGTCTGTTTACTAGGCCTCAACTATTTTGATTTTAACAAATTTTAACTACATTAGTTATATACATTTGTTACCTCATTATGTCTGGTTCTAGAGCATGTCCATGAGCGTTGTTAGATACACACTACTGAAATATTGTTCACATAATCATCATTACCAAAAGAAATATTCTAGAGGCATTCAGAATGTTAAGAAACATGAAAAAATCCCATTAAAATGCTCCTACTGATTTACTCTGTAGATTACCACACCCATTTAAATGGCATTTACCCTTTCAAACCTGCAGTGAGTTATCGATAAATCCTTAAACTGGAGATTCATGGGCAAAGTGATGTTATTTATTCCCCGGTGCTTAATGCACTCTGATGTCATGATCCACATGCACTTCACCCCTGTGCTAGACTGGTAAATTTAGAGGCCACCTCTTCTCCTCTGCACTCTGCCAGCTTCAGAACAGAAGATACCTTCTCAAGGCACAGTGATATGTCTTTTGCCAAAGTACTTGCAAATATTCACTTCAAATATGATTGAAGAAAAAGAGAAAGAAAAAGAGAAAGAAAAAAAATCAAACTAACTCATCTTGGAAGTATGGAATCAGTGTTAGATCTCTCCTCAAAAAGTTTGTTTTCATGTTACTCTGTGTTAGAAGAGCCAGGGATGGAAGGAGGAGGAGATGTTCAAAAGGCACTTTCAGTTCTGCAGGTCAACTTTTAACAGAAAGGAAGGCAGAAAGGTGGTAGTTTGGAACAGGGAGAAGGGGACAAAGGGATCAGAGGGCTTATGGCTCTGGACAAATTCTTACAGTTGGAAGTGCTGTAGGAGAGGACAGAAAGGCTTCAAGAGTACAGAAAACCCAGAATCTTTAGAAATCCATCTGAAGATTTAAAAAAAGGGAGAGAGGAGGAGAAACAGGGAGAATTAAAATGTCACTGTATTTCTAAAAGAATCCATTAATTGCAAGTTTCCTGTGCACACTAAAGCAGAGGAACAGAAAGGATGGCTAATGAAGAAAGATGGCACCAGAACAGGGAGGGTTGAGCCCCACATCCCACACATCTTCCTTGGACACCAGCCACCTCACAGGCATCACCACCACTGCCACTGCACTTCCCTGAGCCGTGCTCAGTGACAGCTTTGTTTGCTCTTATTGAGAATGAAAGTCCTGAGAAAAGAGCAGCTGAGTTGTCCCTGAACCCCTGGCCAACCTGCAGGGACTGTGACCTGTGGCACTAGAAGAACCAAGGACACTCCCTGAGGTGGAAGGGATGATCCAGTGGCTGCTCCCTCTCTGGAGGAGCAGGAAGGAGGGTCAGGTTTCTCTTGCAGATAAGGTGATCACCAGGAGCTTGGTCAGGTGGTGAGTGAGCAGCTCAACAGCATTTCCCTGCTCAGAAAAATCTTCCTACCAGACCCAGAAGAGGGAAACTTCTTTCCCTCAGCACAAAAGCAAAGAGCACATTATATATTGAAATGAAGTGCCCAAGGCACATGACACCCCCTCCTTCTCCTTCATCCCACCAGGAACTGCATCCCAGGTGCTTATTTGTTTATGCTGTGACCAAAGCCAAAATTAAAACTCGCAGACCTCACACAGTCCCCAGAAGCATCTCCCAAGGAGAACTTAGAGCACTTTCCAGCACCTAAAGGTGTTCCAAGAGAGCTGGAGAGGAACTTTGACAAGGGATGGAGGGACAGGACAAAGGGGAATGGCTTCCAACTGCCAGAGGGCAGGGTTACATGGGATATTGGGAAGGAATTGTTGGCTGTGAGGGAGGTGAGGCCCTGGCACAAGTTGCCGAGAGCAGCTGTGGCTGCCCCATTCCTGAAAGTGTTCCAGGCCAGGTTGGACAGGGTTTGGAGCAACCTGGTATAGTGGAAGGACTCCTTGTCCATGGTAAGGGGTGGGACTGGATGAGCTTTAAGGTCCTTTCAACCCAAACCACTTCAGGATTCTGTGGCTCTGGTAGGTCAGGAAGAGGAGCTCATAATCTTATCTGCATGGAAATAGTTTGCTGCAAGTTATCAATGCAAGAGCTGCCACAGGAGTTGAAGTTGCTGCCTGGAAGACTCACTATGGAGAATCAGCCTCTATGTAAATGAGAGGCACCTTGTTCCTTGCAGAACAAGAACCCTTTATTCACCCAGTTGTTGGATACTCCTCAAAAGGCTCAGTGAGAGCTGTGCTTCTGACCTCTATTTGTAGCACACATTTCAGTGGGATCACTTACTGATAGCAGCCTTTTCCTTTTTAACCCAAGAACTTTTAACCTGGGGGTTCTACTGGGAAGAGGCCTCTTCCTGACCAGCCCTGTTCAGTGATGGCAAGGATGACATCATTGAGGTGCTTCAAGTCACTGGGGCGATGTGGACAAGAGGCAACTTCATCCATTGGGTTGATGAGGTGAAGTTTAGATTTGTTCTGGTGGAAGGACTTGCTCTGACCCAATGCCTCCCCTGAGAAGAGACTATTCTGTGTTCAGAATAAACCTCCAGTAGCCACCAAATACAGCAACAACCTGCTGCACTTCCTTACAAACTAAAACATCCTATAGCAGCATCCTGGCATGGTCCTTCCTCAACAGCAGCCAAGGGATGGGATTCCAGCTAAAAGAGCCCTTGCTGACAGCAGAAGCCTTGTGTTGTACAGTATGGGAGCTGGAGAGCACAGAAATCTTAATTAAAGCACTTGAGTGCTCTCCTGGCTGATTTTACAGCACTATCAGGGCAAGGATGTGCAGTGCAGGAGAAGAACATCTCTTCCCAGGGCAGAGAAAGCTCCAGAGGAGAAGGCTGTGATCACCAGGGGAGTGCAGAGGGAGGTGCTCCTGTACAGAATGGCTGAGGGTGGTTCCCCTGCCTGCTGTCCTACCATGACCTGCTCACCAAAGACACAGGTGCTACACCAGCACCTGCAGTGCTTCCCCAGGACAGCTCTGAGGTGTTGGGAGCTTACAGAGCCTGATACTTGTTGTTATTGTCAAAAGAGACCCACTGTCAACTGTCTTCCCTTAATAGGGCCAATCCATCAGTGTATGTATCAGCCAGACTAGGAAATGCATCTTCTGCACAGGAAGAGGGAAAGAAATTGTGCTGTATTCAGAGGGGAAATACCCACTTCCTCCCTACCCCCACAGAGGAACCCTCACCTCAAATCCCCTTGCTGCATTCTGATGAGTAATGTTTGTGCTTATCCTCAAAAGAAAAGACACTTAAACCAGTCCAGCTTTCAATGCTGGGATTTGGGGCCAGTCCAGCTTTAAATACTGGGGTGTGGGGCCAGAAATGGGTGAATGGAGCAGGTGTGACTGAGTGATGGGGAATATTTCAGCCCCGCCACCATCACCTGCAGCCAGAGATTTTGCAGGGGACCACAGAGGGACCAGAAACAAAGGGTCACACACTGCCACCAGCTGATGGAGATGCTCACTGGTTGGAACAAGTGAGAAGTTCCTAATTTTGAAGCTTTCCCTGCAAAATCTGCACACTGTGGTCCTCGTCAGTCTGGGGAGGTACCTGAGCACCAACCACGCCCTAGGCAACCCACAAACCCTACCAACCACAGGGAATGAATTCCAGCTCTCCAGAGAACCAGGGAGGAAATGAGCCGACATTTAAAAGGCATTTAAGACTCTGTCAGTCTGAATATTTATGCTGATGAAGCAATTCTGAGCTTGAGAGCAGGGAGGTGAAAGCAAGACGTCTAGAAATTGAAGATCAGCAGAGAAAGACTGTGTTTCACAGGTTACTTAGCAAGAGCAAACAGACCTTTTTTGCCTGTAAAGGGCAGACAAAAAGCAGACATGAAACCATAGGAAAGGAAGCAGGTTTCCCTCAGTCTGCCCAAACTATATGTAACAGTATCTTCAATGTCAAATTATATATTTTTGCTCAGAGAGCTACTGCCTGTGCTTTCTTTAGGGATGGAGTGAGGAAAGAGATAAATATTCCCTGTTCCTTATCTTAAAATCATAGAATGGTTTGGGTTGGAAGGGACCTCAAAGCCCATCTCATTCCAACACCCACTGCCATGTAGAAAAGCATTAAAGCCTTCACCTCCCACTCTCCCAAAATAGTGGTTCAGGAGTATTAAATACCCCTCTGTATTCTCTTCCAGTGGTACCACAAGATCCTGACACTACGATGAGAAAAAACTTGTTTGCTACTGTCTATATGTCCCAAATTTCACATTTCTGGAAGTTTTTAGCTACTCTCTGCAGTAATCTCCCTCCTCACAATTATTTTTGGG